GAGGTTCCTAACATAAGAATCTCCTGTAGAGTGCATCACCCTCTAAGATTGCACTGTGTTCTACTATGATGCACTCTCTTGTAACATGGGAGCTTCCTCTTGTAAAATGACAGTCTTTTTTAACCTACCAGCAATCTCTGGTGGTCTCTAGTAAATTGGCAGCCATCTTTCTCTTGGTCACTTGTATCAAAATTGGGTTCCTAATATATCAGTCTCTTATTTAATGCAGAACCCTCAGATATGGGAGTGTATTTTACCAGGGCAAAGTCTCTTGTAATCCCTGAAATGGGAGCTTCCTCTTGTAAATTGACAGTCTCTGGCAGGTTTCAGTAAAATGGTGTTGTCTTTTATTGTCTCTTGTATTGAGGTAGGTAAAAGCGTCTCCTGTAGAATGCATAGCTCTCTAACATGGTAGTGCTTTACCATGGTGCAATCTCCTACAATAGTGAAGCTTGTTCTTGTAAATTGACAGTTTCTTGTAACTTACCAGCAACCTCTGGCAGTCGTCAGTAAAATGGCGTCCATCTTTTTTTTGGTCTCTTCTTTCAAGGCTGAAGTTTGTTATATAGCAGTTTTTTATATAATGCATCACCCTCTAACACCACCTTTCTCAACCTTTTTACCCCAGAGGAACCCCTAAAATAATTTTGAGGTCTCAGTGAACCCTTAATCAAACTGATTCATTATGTGTCAATGGCAAAAATGTCCCTTAACTCTGCGGTCAATAGAAAGAATGGAACCCTTGCAGTGGTGGTTAGAATGCCACCCTTATAGACTGCCTAAAAGATAATTGGTGTCATCATACTGGCTTTGCCAAGTGGCATTGGTCTTGGAACTAAGCAGGCATTATCAATAGAACTACAGAACCAGAACAGGGGAAGTTGGTGGTGATAACCATTACTGAATGAAAATATTCTGAGTTTGAGGCTCAACAACTCCAGAAATCAGATGATGTGTTCAAGAAGTGGCATCTCATTAATTGAACGTGACCCGATCCCTTCTCGTCCAGCCGTAGTTCAGAGTCCGGCGATGTGTTTTTATCTCATGTCTGTTGCCTGGAGAGAAGGGTCAGGCAACATAAAATGACCGCAATGTAAATAATTTATAGGTCGTACAGCCGGGCGGTGAATGGATGGTGCGGAAATAGTGTGCTGAATATTTCACAAGGAGAATCTGGGTCCTGTGTTTTAAGGACGATCTGAGAATTAAGAGGGTTAAATGATGTCACCCGTGCACAGTAACATCAGCTGTTTACACGTCTGAGACGCTGTGCTCATAAATATCCTGCTCGCTGCTGCCGCCAGCGCCGTTCATTAAACCGTGATCTATACCACAAGAAAACATTGCCAAGCTGTGTCCCCAGCAACCAACAACACAATCAGATAGATAGACAGACAGACAGAGATTGATTCATCGATTGAGAGACAGACATAGATAGATAGATAGATAGATAGATAGATAGATAGATAGATAGATAGATAGATAGATAGATAGAGATAGATAATAGATAGATAGATAGATAGATAGATAGATAGATAGATAGATAGATAGATAGATAGATAGATAGATAGATAGATAGATAGATAGATAGATAGATAGATAGATAGATAGATAGATAGATAGATAGATAGATAGATAGATAGATAGATAGATAGATAGATAGATAGATAGATAGATAGATAGATAGATAGATAGATAGATAGATAGATAGATAGATAGATAGATAGATAGACAGACAGATAGATAGATAGATAGATAATAGATAGATAATAGATAGATAGATAGATAGATAGATAGATAGATAGATAGATAGATAGATAGATAGATAGATAGATAGATAGATAGATAGATAGATAGATAGATAGATAGATAGATAGATAGATAGATAGATAGATAGATAGATAGATAGATAGATAGATAGATAGATAGATAGATAGATAGATAGATAGATAGATAGATAGATAGATAGATAGATAGATATAATAGATAGATTTATATTTATTTATTACACACTTATATATTGCTGATAATATGATGTAATGAAACAAAGGAAGGAAGAAAGAGAAAGACCTAATTAAACGAAAGAAGGAAGGAAGGAAAAGAATGACATAATGAAAATAAGAAAGGAAGGAAGGAAAAAAAGACCTTATGGAAGGAAGGAAGGAAGGAAGGAAGGAAGGAAGGAAGGAAGGAAGGAAGGAAGGAAAAGAAAGGTGTAATAAAACAAAGGAGGAAGAAAGGAAAAGAAAAATGTAATGAAAGGAAGGAAGGAGGAAAGGAAGGAAAAGAAAGATGTAATGAGATGAAGGAAGAAAGGAAAGAAGGAAAAGAAAGGTGTAATGAAACAAAGGAAGGTAGGAAGGAAGGAAAAGAAAGATGTAAGGAAGGAAGGAAGGAAGGAAGGAAAATAACGATAGGAAGGAAGGAAGGAAAAGAAAGATGTAATGGAAGGAAGGAAGGAAGGAAGGAAAATAACGATAGGAAGGAAGGAAGGAAGGAAGGAAAAGAAAGATGTAATGGAAGGAAGAAAGGAAGGAAGGAAAAGAAAGATGTAATGAAAGGAAGGAAGGAAAAGAAAGGTGTAATGAAAGTAAGGAAGGAAAAGAAAGGTGTAATGAAACAAAGGAAGGAAGGAAAGAAGGAAAAGAAAGATGTAATGAAATTAAGGAAGGAAGGAAATAATGGAAAGAGAGACCTAATGGAAGGAAGGAAGGAAGTAAAAGAAAGATGTAATGGAAGGAAGGAAGGAAGGAAGGAAGGAAAGAAGGAAGTAAGGAAGGAGAAGAAAGACCTAATCAAAGGAAGGAAGGAAGGAAGGAAAAGAAAGACCTAATCAAAGGAAGGAAGGAAGGAAAAGAAAGACTTATGGAATGAAGGAAGGCAGGAAATGAAAGACCTAATTGAAGGAAAGAAGGAAAATAAAGATGTAATTAAATGAAGGAAGGAAGGAAAAGAAAGACCCATTTAAAGGAAGAAAGGAAAAGAAGGATGCAATGAAAGGAAGGAAGGAAGGAAAAGAAGGATGCAATGAAAGGAAGGAAGGAAGGAAAAGAAGGATGCAATGAAAGGAAGTAAGGAAGGAAAAAAAAGACATAATAAAATGAAGGAAGGAAGGAATAGAAAGATGTAATTAAACAACTGAAGGAAGGAAAAGAGTGTTGGAATGAAACAATGAGGAAGACGTGATGAGAAATGAAGAAAGCATAGTAAAGATGGTGGGATGGTAGAGAAGAGAAATGGAAGTGAAGAATGCAGGAAAAGAGGTAGGGAGTGAGTGAGAAAAGAAGGAAGTAAGGAGAGAAAGGAAGGACTGAATTAGAAGAAGGAAGGAATTTATCTATTACAGGCACTTTACATTTTGTCAAGGAGCTCGCTATACAAAGAGCAAACTCTCTAATCTATGGACAATTCGTTTTCATATCTATTTGAGCCTCTTTTGTAGAGATGTTCTCTTGTTTCCTGTCTTATGAACAGGGGGACAGGAAGTTGAGGGCAATTGCTCACAGGAGACGCCGTCAGCAGTAAAAACTCCACAGAATTTTGAAAAGTAAAATTTAAAAAAATGTTTTCTTTATTCGTTTAAGAGAAGAACTCAAATAAGTTGTGTTGTAATACCAACTGAAGTGTGTTATGAGGTGGAATGGCTAACGGGTGCCATCTTGTCTCCTTACAGGTGACCATTGCTTGACGTGAGCAGGATCCCGAGATTGGTTCCCGTTTATGAGAAGCGCACAGCGAGCGAATGGAATGAAATCCAGCCGTACGGCCAGACGCCCAGACCTGCTGCATTGAAGAGGTACCTCTCCGTTCCCTTCCTTAGAAATAACAAGTCTGAAACCACAAGCAAACACTGACGCCGCTGCCAAAACCACTTGTTACTGTACGTAATTTGGCAGCAGGGTCCCCTCCAGACGTATTTCATGATCCCTTTTCAAAGCGAACAGCAAATGAGGAAATCGCAGAGCTGTCAAGTCTAAGATGAATGTTAGGGCCAAACTTTCTTCATCGATCCCACAGAGTGATGGAGGGTTCCGGGTTCACCAGGCCCGGAGTAGGAGACAGGACTCACGGGCCATGGCTTAGGGAAGCATATATATATGGGGGGGGGGGGGGGGGGGGCTGAACGTCTTATTTTGTTCAATGTTTATAAACATTGTAAAGTTGGCCATGTACAGTAGACAGCTGTTGTGCAAACCCAACGATTTCCACTCTGTCTTTTGGCTAGTTGTATGGTTATGATGTGCTAATGACCGATGACAATAACAACGGCTCACCAGTGTGATGAAATTCTGTACGGCGCTGGTTTACATTTCCATTCTCAGATAGTAGACCGTATAAGGACTGCAAATTGTTATCCGTTTCGTACGATGATGGAATGATTGTGGCGTCCAAACCAAAGCACATTGGAAGTAGTATCTGGTGTGAGATCAAAGGATTTTCCAGACATGTAGGATTTTTACTTAGTGCTGATTGTAGGCTGAGCCACCTTGACAGTTTTATCTAGAAAGATATGCAGAGCTTTGTTGCAAGGTTCAAAGTGGTGATTCTGGAAATGTTCGATTTGCACCCAAAGGAGCTATGGCAGTAATCATCGGAGAGTCATTGATTGTATGGAGCTTGTTGTTTCAGTCACTCTGAGTCCACCCGATCATAGTTCACAACATCGAACAAAAATTGACAGCACTCTAAAGAATCGGCATGCTTTGTCACTACATTTGTGTTTGTTAAAAATTCCATATACTGTATAGCCCTAGAGAACAGACAGTGTGCAATCCACATGTGCTTTGCTGCTGCTTTACTGCAAACAGGAAATTTTGTTTTAGAGAAAAGACATAGAGTTCAAGTATCATCAATGCAGCTACAAACTTATAAACACTGCCATCTACTGGCTGAAGAATATATCTCTACTGAATACTGATGTAGTTTTTGCACAAAATACATGAACACTGTATTTCAACACCCCCACTCAACAACTACTGTATGTTAATCCCATTTCAGATCTGTATGTCGGGTGTCATTCTCGGTATCTGTTTCCTATTCTGTATATATGGGCTCTGCACAGTCCCACTTCTCCTGTTCTGTATGCCGGGTGTAATTCTCTGTATCTGTACTTATTCTGTATGTATGGATTCCGCACAGTCCCATTTCTCCTGTCCTGTATGCCAGGTGTCATTCTCGGTATCTGTTCTTATTCTGTATGTATGGACTCTGCACAGTCCCACTTGTCCTGTCCTGTATGCCGGGCTTAATTCTCAGTATCTGTTCTTATTCTGTATGTATGGACTCTGCACAGTCCCACTTGTCCTGTCCTGTATGCCGGGTGTCATTCTTCAGTATCTGTCCCTATTCTGTATGTATGGACTCTGCACAGTCCCACTTCTCCTGTCCTGTATGCCGGGTGTAATTCTCGGTATCTGTTCTTATTCTGTATGTATGGACTCTGCACAGTCCCACTTCTCCTGCCCTGTATGCCGGGTGTCATTCTCGGTATCTGTCCTTATTCTGTATGTATGGACTCTGCACAGTCCCACTTCTCCTGTCCTGGATGCCTGGTGTCATTCTCGGTATCTGTCCTTATTCTGTATGTATGGACTCTGCACAGTCCCACTTCTCCTGTCCTGGATGCCGGGTGTCATTCTCGGTATCTGTCCTTATTCTGTATGTATGGACTCTGCACAGTCCCGCTTGTCTTCTTCTTCCAGTTTGTAAGTCTCTCTGTACGATTATACAGGAGAAGAGCCTTTGTTTTTATAATGGGATGATGTACCTTTGCTGTGTGATAAGCTGTATTATGACCAGGTTTGCAGAACACAAAGAATGCAGTTGAATAATTTGATTCTCCCTCCTGTGATCCTGTGGCGGATTTGGTGGTGCGTATCGCTGCATCGAGCGTCCTCGGGAATCGCAGTGAAACGTCGGCAGCTTTGGGGTGTTAGAACAAGATGGAGCCCAGAATATTTATCGTGCCGCTGAGATTGTTGTGATTCCCGCAGCCTGATCTGAACTTCAATGTGTTTTCAGTGGAGAGAAATGGTGCATACGATATGAGCCTGAGAGGTTCCAGAGAGCTGAATAATACAAGAGTGTGCGCATCGCCTCATACCTGAGACAAGCCGGGACCGGCAACATTAAAGGGAACCTGTCAGGAAAATATTGGAGTCCCAAATCCTGACCCAAGATGTTATCCTGACCTAGTGCAGCCTATCTCCAACTTTTTTCCCCAGAAAACCTTGAAATAATTTACAGATATCAGAGAACCCTGCCACAAAATGAATGCATCTACAGCTCACAATACATTAGAGTTGTTAGTCAGTTGTAGATTAAATAAAAAGGAATGCGGCACCCCTAGAGTAATTGTCACCCAAGTTGGATCATTTGTCTGGTCCTTTGCGGGGGGAGAAAGACTAACCCCTTACATTAGTGGAAGAATGTCCCTTACATTGGTGGGAAGTGGGAAGAATGTCCCTTACATTGGTGATCAGTGGGAAGGATGCCCCTTACATTGGTGTCAGTGGGAAGAATGTCCCTTACATTGGTGATCAGTGGGAAGGATGCCCCTTACATTGGTGTCAGTGGGAAGAATGTCCCTTACATTGGTGATCAGTGGGAAGCATGCTCCTTACATTGGTGTCAGTGGGAAGAATGTCCCTTACATTGGTGGTCAGTGGAAAGGATGCCCCTTACATTGGTGGTTAGTGGGAAGAATGTCCCTTACATTGGTGGTAAGTGCGAAGAATGTCCCTTACATTGGTGGTCAGTGGGAAGAATGTCCCTTACATTGGTGGTCAGTGGGAAGGATGCCCCTTACATTGGTGGCCAGTGGGAAGAATGCTCCTTACATTAGTGGTCAGTGGGAAGAATGCCCCTTACATTTGTGGTTAGTGGGAAGAATGTCCCTTACATTGGTGGTCAGTGGGAAGAATACTCCTTACATTGGTGGTCAGTGGGAAGAATATTCCTTACATTGGTAGTCATTGGGAAGAATACTCCTTACATTGGTGATCAGTGGGAAGAATGCCCCTTACATTGGAGGTCAGTGGGAAAAATGTCCCTTACATTGGTGATCAGTGGGAAGAATGTCCCTTACATTGGTGATCAGTGGGAAGAATGTCCCTTACATTGGTAGTCAGTGGGAAGAATGCCCCTTACATTGGGGGTCAGTGGGAAGAATGTCCCTTACATTGGTGATCAGTGGGAAGAATGCCCCTTACATTGGTGATCAGTGGGAAGGGTGCTGCTTACATTGGTGGTCAGTGGGAAGGATGCCCCTTACATTGGTGGTCAGTGGGAAGGATGCCCCTTACATTGGTGGTCATTGGGAAGGATGCTCCTTAAGATCTTTTTTGAAGAAGGGCTGCATGCATAAGGGGGGCGGGGTGGTTTCTTGACCTCACAGTTTGATGTCTGGTGTAGTGATGTGAGTGGTAGTACGATTTATTTCCCCAATTATGTCATGTTCATTTCTAAGACGTTTGCTTTTGTCTGACAGCAGATTTTGCTATATTTATTTTCGTTTTGCTGTAAATATATATAATTTTTTTATATTCTGTATAATATTTTATGTTTATTGATTGCGAGACTTTTAATAAAGAAAAATTGGGAAGGATGCTGCTTACATTGGAGGTCAGTGGGAAGAATGTTCCCTACATTGGTGGTCAGTGGGAAGAATGCTCCTTACATTGGTGGTCAGTGGGAAGGATGGTCCCTACATTGGTGGTCAGTTAGAAGAATGTCCCTTACAGTGGGGGGGGTCAGTGGGGAAGAACCGAGTACAGAGACCTAACTGTCTACAGGAGCTCTCAGTCTGTATTGTTGAATGGCAACCAGTTGGACCAGCTCCATATCACGTGACCACTGTGACGATGGTCACATGATTAGGCAGACCTTCCCAATCCGTGTGCATAATAGCCCAGTGAAAGGGATACCAGGTAGGTAGGAAGGGGTTAAGGTTTGCAAACTCTTTTAGGGAACATTTAGTACTTTTTAGCAATACCCTTTAGTCATGAATCCTTCTTGGAAAATAGCAGTGCACCTTTGTGCTTAAATGCTTCCGTTCTGTGGCCTCATAACTGTATATCTGCAGTGTGAGATCTAAGGTGCTGCTGCCTGTGACTGATAGTCTCTCTGGATTTGTATTGAGATTCAGTAATGTCACTACTGTGCTGCTCACGGTTCTCCGTGCTGGCGGGGAAGCTGTACCCGAGGATCTCCAGTGCAAGGGACTCTCTGCTTCTACTTTATTCCATTCTGTAGATTTGTGCTTCCTCCACCTCTCCTGCTGCTTCTTGTATATTCCCCTATCAGTCATTAGATTTCCAGTCCCCCATGATAGCAGCTTTGACATTAGGAAGCAAAGCCCTGTGTCTCTGCCAAGATGGCCACCTCCGAAAAAAAACGCAGTTTAGAACAGTCAGTAGTGAGGAAAATATACGTTTAAGAAAACATACGAGCAATACCGGTGACTAGACCTTTTCCCTCTGCTTGCCTTTTTTTGGACACAGCCCCCACAGTACAGGACCAAAAGGCATTGGTCAAGACAGAAACATGGGTTGGCTGGTTTTTCAAGCTGTAGGCAGTGGAGTTGTCAAGGTTTTCCTCATTGGTGATACTCCCAATTTACATGCTAGCTTTGGAAACAATAACTTATGAAGCGTTGAAGGATCGATAGCCAACCCATGGAATCTTCACTTTCAGATTGCAGTGGCAGCTCCCATACACACCCTTCAGATCTGCCACATGTCACCTTAGGCAGTTCCACTGGTAGGCAGCAGATCTGTGGGAGGTTGCCTGCCAGTGATTTTTTGGATTTATATTTAAGTTGCAGGAACTCTAAAGTTTTTGACATGCAGTGAGAAACAAAACTGAATGGGCTGAATACTGCGCAACTATTGGCATGAAAAACACAAACTTAGAGGAGAGTCTTAGGGTTAATGATAATATGGAAACCAGCATCCAGGAAGAATAGGAGCCCTTATCTTTGAGGGTGCAATAATACAGGTGGCAGTTGCCGGTGAGTGAGCATCTTGGCACCTGTCTCATTTAAACCTCCACTGGACCACTTTGTTATTGATCTCCTTGTGAGAAGCCATTGATTTCAATGGCTAAGTACACCTCAAACTCTGCTTTCAATGCTCGAAGAATGAGGCCTTACCCATGTAAGGTGGCCATAGACCTTGGAGAATGTCATGAATCGTGCATGCATAATCAACTGCCCTCTAAAATCTGTCGGAATCCTAAGAAGTTTGAGGGAATTTCTTCCAAGTCAAAATTTCCGTAAATACCTGTCTCCAGTTTATAAGAGGGCCCAATGCTCTTGCCTTCCCCATGCAGCTTATATTTTTTATTGAGTAAATGTATATATTTTTTAAGGGTCTTCTTGATGGTCAGGTGACATCATGGGTTTTTAACATTTAGTTTGTTGGCGGTGGTGAGTGGTGCTTACTCCTGCACTGAATGGTACTTGTGGTAGGACCCATGTGAGCATTTAAGTGCATTAGTACAATGAATTCATGCTGGCATGATGACACTCTCCTCAGGGGGTGGGTCCACGAGAGCCTAGGCTCACAGGAAGCAAGTTAAATAATGCTGGGTGTCATTGAACCTGGAAGAGCAGATGTCAGGACCAGGATCCGAACCCATGACTTTTGCTGCATCCAGCAGTAGCTCTACTTGCTGAGCCACCTGAAATACTGGACAGCACTCTGTCTGATCCATTGAACAACCCTGCCTTGTACCTTGCTTCTGGTGAACCTTGAACTTATTGCTCCTTCCATGAAGTTCCTATTTAAGCAATGCCTTTGCACTTCCTATTTACCAGATTATTGTGCTCTTCTCCAGCCAGTATCGTGCTCTCTTCTCTCCTACTGCTGTCTGTATCTCCACTACCACTCTTTACCGACCTTCGACTTGTTCCTTGACTACACTTCCACTCAATCCCAACTTGCAACCAGTCGTTATTGACTTTTACCGTGTCCCTCAACTACGTTTCCACTTGATTCCAACCTGCCACCACTTGTTACTGACCTTTGACTTGTTTATTGACTACACTTCTGCTTGATCCCTACCTGTTATATCTGCTACTGGTTTGCTCACCTCCTGGTGGAGCATCCTGATGACCACAACCTGGTACTAACACGTAACAAAACTCATCTCCACCATCAGATTAATACTGGTTGGTGCTTAGATCCCGCACCTCAGGTGAGCTTGCATCATCCACCAGGGTAACCTGCTTGTGTACTTGGTCGGTGGGAGCCTCCCTACTGCTACAGCTACTGGTCTTAGAGCCTGACCCCTGACAGCAATGTCAACTATTGAAGGAGAAGACTTTGAAAACTGTTTTTGACTGTTAATTTAATTTACAAATGCTGGTCAGTGTTTTCTCCTACAGTCATGGAGTTCTGCGTCAAAACAGATCTTTAACTGGGCTTCCTCTTTAAAAAGTTTCCCGCCTCTCCTGAGACTGACCTGTTGCCCCGCCGTCTGTTTGCAGAAAATACCCTCCGACTCTTTAACGATCTTTACGGAAAGATTAGGCCATGGGCACAAAAATACATGCAATAAAACCTAATGGAATTCTGCTGCAGCGGAGCCGTCCAATATCGAGTGTCTGAAAGGCTCTGATTGTGTACATTCACTTTGGATGGGTCCGTCTTTGAATCCTTTGTCCTCAGCATACCTCTGTTCTCTCCCACACTGCGGACGCCCTGTTCACAGATTAGGTTACTGGCAGATCAGATTTTGAAATGTTGGTTTTGCACCAAAAAGCTTCCCAGCGATTATTAGAGGGAATCTAATTCACGTTGAGATAAGAGTATCAGATGCAGAGTGCTCTAAGGCCTGCCTGGCTGGCAGACTCCAATCTGGACGTTTCAGGCCTTCACAATAGGGCGAAGGAGAGGCCACAACTCACAAGACAACATCTGTAGAAAGACAACCTGAAGGCTTACTAATTTTGGATATGTACTGTATATAAAATGAGCACCTTAAGGCCTTTTCATGCAAGTATGTTGTATTAGCATGCAAAATTCCCACATTTACACATGTTTAGTTAAGGCAGATCACCGTTTAGGCTGTTGGTGCGCTGTAGGATGGGTGCCATTGAAACAATGAGGATGCAGGCTGAGGATGGGTTTGTTCAGACCCAAAGCATGCAAGCAAAATGAGAGGAGGTTTCCAGACTGCCACACATCTCAGCCGGCCGTGTACTAGACAGGTAAAAGCAACCTCAGCTCACAAAAATTAAGGCCACACTCCCAATTTCACCCTACCCCCCGGGCTTAATCATGGCCAGTTGTTAGCTTCCTGCTCATTGGGCTGCCAATGCCCATCATTACATTGTTGAGGTCCTCTCTGCTGTCTTCTGCTGGTAGGAGGCCCCCTGTGCTATCTCTCAGGTCTTAAAACATGTTAGACTAACAGAATTTGAAAAAACGCAACAGGAAACTGCATGTGACCCTAAATTGTTGCTTGGGGATCACCGCTCAGGCTGTTGGTATGCTGTAGGACGGGTGCTTGTTGAAACAATGAGGCTGCAGGCTGGGGATGGGTTCGTTCAGACCCAAAGCATGCAAGCAAAATGAGAGGAGGTTTCCCGACTGCCACACATCTCAGCCGGCCATGTAGTAGACAGGTAAAAGCAACCTCAGCTCACTACAATCAAGGCCACACCCCCAAAGTGTTTCATCCTACCCCCCGGGCTTAATCATGGCCAGCTGTTAGCTTCCTGCTCATTGGGCTGCCAATGCCCATCATCACATTGTTGAGGTCCTCTCTGCTGTCTTCTGCTGGTAGGAGGCCCCCTGCGCTATCTCTCAGGTCTTAAAACATGTTAGACTAACAGAATTTGAAAAACGCAACAGAAAACTGCATGTGACCCTAAATTGTTGCTTGGGGATCACCGCTCAGGCTGTTGGTATGCTGTAGGACGGGTGCCGTTGAAACAATGAGGCTGCAGGCTGGGAATAGGTTCGTTCAGACCCAAAGCATGCAAGCAAAATGAGAGGAGGTTTCCCGACTGCCACACATCTCAGCCGGCCATGTAGTAGACAGGTAAAAGCAACCTCAGCTCACAAAAATCAAGGCCACACCCCCAAAGTGTTTCACCCTACCCCCCGGGATTAATCATGGCCAGTTGTTAGCTCCCTGCTCATTGGGCAGCCAATGCCCATCATCACATTGCTGAGGTCCTCTCTGCTGTCCT